ATGAAAGAGGTATTTTCTGGAAACTTTGGTACACTGAAATACCACTGTAGCTTGTAAGATTGAACCTGATCTGAGATCTCTTAATTCCACTTTGTATATATTCTATATAGAAACTTGAACAACTGTTATATGGATGCATGAATTGGCCTAATGTGACCTGGCGGAACACGCTATACATATGATTTAGGCAGCTTATTTATCTCTGTTATGAACATTGAATGGATAATTGATAGAAGTGTTGGTATGTGTGTGTGTCTGTGTGTGTGTGTGTGTGTGTGTGTGTGTGTGTGTGTGTGTGAGAAAGAGTTAATTATGTAATTATGTATTCTTAAAAACCAAATGAAGACCTTTCCTACAGGGCTTTGGTAATCTGCAAAATTACTTACAATGTGAAGAAACATGTACAGCATCATATCATGTGAAACTAATCACAGATATTTATTGCTAGAATTTTATTGTTCTTTACATATTACAGTTATAAATAGTCGATGAATTAGTCTGGTACAAAACAGGTTTCCCAATCTTCTTGGATATAATCTGGTTTGAGACGAAATTGATCCACATTTCATATAATGAAAACATGATTCAGACTTCACATGTGCATTTAACAGGTCTTTTTAAACACCTTCTTTGAATTATGTTGTGTAAATCTTAACCAGCCAGTGAATACTAACTAGAACACTCACAATTCAGTTAAAAATAATTTTGATGTTAAAAAGAAGGCATTCATCTGAAAAAAGGAAGAACTATCAATAGGGAACACTCAGGTTACTGCCAAGTAGAATTGTATAGCCCAGTAACAAGTGATGTAATATAATGTAATCTGATGCACTGATGAAGTGTTATCTGATGTATGATAAGTAGAATTGTTCTGAATTTGTTCAATATCTATTTATGTAGCCAGAGACAGTTCAAGTACCTGTGTACGTGAAAAAACTTTTGAATTATGCAGTCAGATTTACATAATGGAAACCTTTAACGATTAGATACACTGCTTTGAAGGAAAACATATTGAAAAGTGTAATTCATCTTTACCCCAACATTCATTGTGAATAATGCAATCAATAATGTCTATGAGTAATTCATTCAAAATCCTCTCTTTGCCAAACCCATGTATATAATGCTGCTTATGTGAAATACTTCTGTATATAATCATACCTAACATATATGCCTTATATGACTTCTTTTTGATCAAACATTTCTTTGCAAGGCTCTATTTTGTAACACACTCATATTATATACCACACAAAGAAGTGACATGTATGGCAAATGGTCTTATCCAGTGTGTACAAATCGAAGAAAAAGAACTCCCACACAATACCTACCCAACTTGTCTGATATATCTGTCATCACGGATCAGTGTTTTATATGCTGCCATTGCTATGTATGTAAGAATTGTGTGGATGGGTGTGATAATGGGTGGGTGGAAGTTTGCATGAGGGTATAGGGGTTAATATTTTTTATTAATTTGGAGGACACTCTGTACATCCTGAGCCAATCAATCTCACCCAAGTTACCGTAAGCAACAGGCTAATACAAACCTTAACCCTAATCAGAATTATTCACCATGAAATTTCTGAAACATTACTGCCTAAAAGATCTTCACAGGAAGTGCTATGTTTGATATGCTATGGTGCATCTATCACCGCTTCTGTCACATAAAGTTAATACCGAATCCACTTTTAACACAATTTCATTATATAAACAAAGAAATGACAAGTAAATAAAGAAATGCTGGTAATGTTACATGAAGGTGTTTGCAGGCCTTGACAAGGTCATTCCTCAGGTTAGGCCCTGTGTATTGATCTTTTCACTCAGAACTGACAACAGATAACACCCCGTTTCACACAACTCTTGAAAGAATTTAGCCAGGGAAAAACCTGACATCAGGTGCATCATTAAATCTTAGACCAAAGAATGCGATTTTCAAAACATCAGAAAAGCTATTAAGAAAACTCTTGTCCTCTGTGAAAAACAAAAGCAACAAAGAAAAATATATAATTAGGTAAAAGCTAACTCCCACACATCCATCATGAACTTCATTTAAAACTAAAATAGTGCATGCAGGAGTTCACTGCCTTTGATATATGTCTGTTTAATTGCCACAGGTAAATTTCCTCATGCAAACCCCTTCAGTAAAGGTAACTCACATTAAAATACTTAAGGCAGATGAAATTACAGTGCGCATTCCTAGTATCTACTATTCAACTCCATTACCTAGACTTAGATAAACCTTTATCTTCAATTTGATAATACAGATATCATAGCCACAATAGGGATTTTTCACCCTTTTTATTCCAAATTGAAAAAGATATCAAAATGTATTTGACATAAGCCTTGATAATGTGAAAAACTAAAATGAATGTTCTTGCCACCCGAGTTGGGTTCTTCCAATTATTCTTTTACGTTTAGATAGGTTTACATTGTCCCAAGCCAATAGTTTGATATCAGATCAACCCCTAAGCTTAACAACCATGTTCCCTAAATGCACTTAGTAATGTTCATTAGTTGAATTTTGAGCTTAATTTGAAATGATCAATTCAATAACTACATGGAAGCCAGGAAATTGAAATGCAAACATGTTTTTCTTTTCTTTTTTTTCAATAATAAGTTCTTTGTCTATAAAGGAGAAATACAGGAGTAATTGATGTATCAGAGGGTTTGATAGCAGCTTTACCTGAGAAAAGCTTGCAAGGTTTGATGATGGAGGGGATATGTCAGGTATACAAGAGGTATCACGGAGAGGGGAGAATGCATAGTACTATGTAGGCGTCATCTACATGCAAAACTTCATGAAACATGCTATAATATCAGTTGCCAACCAACTAGATGCAGGAGGAGGCTCTTACAGTCTCTATCAGCATGTGATCTGGTAGTACGTTTTTGATTTTAATCGTACATTATCCTGACAAAATCTCCAAGTCAAAGAAGCCCAGTCAAAGCAAAAATGACTGGCTTAATACATGGGAAATTTGATAGTTGTAGTTGTGGCTTTTTATCGAAATACCATTCATACACAAGCACATTAGATTGTAAACTTGAGGTTACATTTTACACAAGTGATCATGAGCTCCATGAGCCAAGAAAAATCGAAACGGGAAGATCACAATAAATGCTAAAAATTTACAAATACATATGCAAGCACTCACACACACATGCACACACACACATACTAAACAAATATAAAAAAGGCTTCATTAAATTTTCCATTGGCTAGAGCTTCTGAAGGTAGGTGTGTTGGAGAGCAAGAGATGAGAAACTTGTGGCTGTATCGCTTTTAAAGCATACATAACTGATAATATATCATGTGCAACACCTTTTGTCATTTAGAAAGTCGAGTATATCAGTTGATGTTGTCTTATGTCATTTTCGTAAAAATGTCGCTATTATGAAACATTGATGAATAAAAGTTATCATCTTTTGTCTCTTTTGGTATAAAAAGCTAGAGTAAATTTGTGCATTTCCAGTGATATACAACCTTTCAATGCCTCATATCAGTTTCTTAGAAGAATGTTTGAAAGGACTTTTCATGATTAAAAACACTTTGCAAATGCCAGTTTTGCTCATGGTATTGCCTCCTACACAAATACCTTAAGCTAGGAGACTTAGACCATATGTGTGTGGAGTAATATCATAATAACTAACCTTCCAGGCATCGGGCTATGGTAAACATTTCATGATATAAAACTGGGGTTAACATGGGTAAATTTCTTGGAATGCTACTGTGAAGAAGAAAGAGATCAAAAGAATTCCTTTAAGCATAATATTTATACATAATTCATAATCAGTGTTTTTATTCCAAGTAAGACTGCATGGCATAATGCAATCTACCAACTTGTCCATTTCTGTCCACAGCACCTCTACATCTTGGTTATATCTTGGCTTGGACCAATTATGTTTTAATTTTCTGAAACTCTGGAAAACTATAACTGGCCATGGGGGGCGTGAGCCTTTCCATCATGTCACTGAAATATGCTGAATATCAGTTTTGTTCTCCAATATTGAAAATTACATAAAAAAACATTTAGTACATGTTTGACATGATGTTATAAAGAATTGTGTATAGACTGTAGACAGAAAAATATAAAGAATTAGAAAAACCCAGCACTGCAGACACATTACATAAACACCATATAGTCACCTAGCATTTTCGTAATGTCTTGGTTCAAGTCTGATAATAACTTAACTAACAGTTAAGACTATCAATGAATTATGTTTTACAATGAGCCAGTGAAGTCTTCCAGGAAAATAAGCATCTTCACAGTATGGATAAGTATTCTCACATACATAAAATGGGAACCAGGTTATTCCTCAGTGCTAGGATATTTAGGTGGGAAAATTTGTGTGTGAGTTTCTTGCTTTATAAAACATTGAACCAATTTGTGGCCAGATGTCATTGCTTAGTAAATCCTGAAGCTGCCCATTAGAAGCTCTCAGCACATCAGCAAATTTATGTGAAATATGCCAAGGCAAATTAACACATTAACTGGATTAGCAAACATTTTAAAGAGAAAATTAAACTACCTGTGGGTGTAGGCTTTAGAAATCATATTAATGCACATCTAAAATTGATTTGTTTTCTATGTGTTCTATATGATGCCAGCTTTTTTCCTGGCTCCCTGGAAGTTTGTGTGTTTTGATGTTATTTGCCCTTGTTCTTATACCTGAAGGGGTTCCCTTGAATAGTATAATTACTGCAATATTACATTTTACAAATCTCTTGTGTTTTCTCTGTCTGCCACGCAGTTATAGAATAGTTTGGTGAATCCATTTGTTATAATTTAGAGGACTTACAAATACATTTTAACATGATTGATGCAAAAGCAGATGTGGTAGTTGTAGACAAAGGGATTAAATGCTTAAAATCATGTTTTATTATTTCACTCCTTGCTAAATTTTTGTTATTTACATATTTACCATTGTCTCACAAAATAGCATTCAAATATGATTATAACTTTAACTGGTCTTATATGATAATAGTTTTTATTTTTTATTTTTAGGATTTTTGCTCTTCAAAGAGTTTTGTGAAAATTGCTGTGATGAGTCGGTACCTCAGTTGAAATTTTATGAAGAGGTAAGTGATATACACCAATCTGGTATCACTAGATTTGATTGATAGAAGCACTTGATAAGTATACATTATTTTAACATAATTTCTTCATATCTTCATATCACCAAATCCACAAAAAAGCCCCATGTAATAATACAGTGGAACCCTATTTCATTTGGCATCATTCAGTGCGTTTTCACAGGTTTTGCAATAATATATGGTCTTAAACCAAGTCTTGTCATAAAAAGAAATGTATTTTTGCAAATTTTATTTTGGCTTTATGACAACAATTCATTCATCACTGCACCTCTGAATGTTGAAGATGAGGTTGAAGATAATTGTACCACCAGCGTTAGCGCTGGCGGTACACATGGTTTCGGTCTCGTCCGGATCGTTCCGCCGGCTCCGCNTGTGACCTTGAAATTGACCTTTGACCTACTTTTCACCATGAACTGAACTTTGCAAATTTTGCTTCCCTTTTATCTCCAAAACTGGCAGAGATAGGTCCATAGTTACTATTGAAGTTGGATAGGAAGTCATATACTGGCAATTTACTGTGACCTTGAAATTGACCTTTGACCTACCTTACAATGAACTTAACTTTGATTGCACCATTTTTAGTTATATATATTTTTTGCATATTTTGAAAATTCTTGTTGATTGCATTTTTACAGCTTGTCAAGCACAAGACTGGTGGCTGCACCCCTTATTTTGTGTATGTGGGGGTCTATACGAATGCGCTTGCTCCAGCTGGTGGTACAATATTCGGAGGCGGTATCGCCTCTCTGATCCTCTAGTTTGGTTGTGACGTGATAGGTTATAGTAATTGGATGAGGAAATATGATGCAATGGCTACGACCTATGACAAACTTACTGGTAAATGTATCACAAGCATAGAACATGTTGTACTGTAGTTTGTCCTCCAAAAGTAACATTGCACCAACTTCTGCTGCAGTTTGGGGTCAGTCGGTGCATTTTATCAGGTGTGACAGCCATGATATGCTTGAACTTAATCTCTAAGCAACTCGGATTCTAATGGCCTGCATTTCTGGCATGTGTTGTGTTCTATAGAGTCAAGTGTAGAGTTTGAAATTGCTGTGGCCAGTTGCATTGGAGGTCACTGTGGAAATGTGTTCATTGGGCGGTACATACCTAAAAGTCAGTACACATCTCTCAGAATCTTTTATGTTTTATTTGGAAAAAGTTTCATACAGGCAGTTGGTAGAACTGTCAGGGGACATAACTTCATGAATTTTGCTATAGATACATTGCAGAAAATTACTAAGCAACTCTCAAGTGCATATGTTTTTTCAGCCCACAAAAGATGTTAGGTTTTCCCCTATTAGAGCCTGTGCCTCATGTGGCTGATGGAAAACTAAGTCTGAAACTCTAGTGAAAGCACAACTGCAATTTGAGTCCACTTCTCTCTCAACATCCAAGGACAATTCATTTACTGCTAATTAATTAAACAAAGCTGCTCTCTTGGGTTTGAAGTTGATTTAGTTACTCAAATTTGGAAAAATGTTGTTTTAAAGCTTGTTGACTGAGATTTTGTTTCTCCACAGAGGGAAGTGAACATTTGGTTTTCTTGTGCATCAAGGATCAAGTTGATGTTAAAAATGGCATTGGTGAATTGGTATAATTTTAATAGAAGAGCATTTGAAATGCTATAACAGTGACACTGAATGGATACTAAAGGTACTTGAGGACTTAAGGACAAAATCATTAGACAAAAAAGGGCCTTTGATGAAGTACCTTAGATCAAGTCAACTCAAAATGCATGATGTTCCACCTCTCAAGCCCCATTCAGAATAGGGGACTAATTAGTCCTAGGGTCAAATATGATGACCCACTACAAAGCTTGCTATCTAATCTGCTAATAGACACTGAATAGATTCCCTGTATTCAAGTGGGTCGGCCATATTTGACCCTCGGACTAGTTAATTCTCCCTTCTGAATGGGGCCTTAGTCACCATTCCTCAGGAACTACCTTCATACTTCATCTGAATTCTTTAAGCATCACCTTTAAAGATTCAGTTTTATTTGTATTGGAAATCAGATTTTGGGACAAAACAATTTCTTTGAAAATTTGGAAGATTTAGGATAACAAAAACTTCTTCATCTTTCCCATAAGTTGATAAGTATCCATACAAATTCACATTGAAAGCACTGTCAGGGACTGAAGGTCTTTAGATGAGTATGCATTTAGACAAAATCTGAGAGCTTCTTGAGTGGCAGAGGAATGCACTTCACTGAGTGCTCTTGTTAAAACAATGTTTTGTTTTTAAGAAGAATGGAATTGAAGGTACAAACAAAACAACCTGCTAAACCAGGACAAATCTATTTTTTTGTTGTGCTTTCAAAGAGAAAAAAATTGCCTGGAGAAAAAAATGCCTGTCCTCTGCTTCCACTCATAGCAAGCCACTTACCTGGAAGATAACAATAACTGAATACAAATTGATTAATGTTTAGTTTCAGAAATCAATAACTTGTCTGCAGGGCCACTCTGGAGCTTCCCTAGGATAAAATTGAAAAAAAAAAAGAAAAAAAGATGCAGACATTTCCTTTCAAAAATGGCATATTATTTTGTTCCATTCTGCTTCAGCAAATGCATTCCAGGGGCTGCAAAAGCATTAGCTACTGCTGATATAGCAGAATATTTTAGGTCATCTTTTTCGTATAAAATCATTTTCATGATCCAGCCTTATTGGTATGTTGCCTATTAAGCTGTAAGCTAGTGATAATGATAATTAAGTCCATCCATCCCTGAAGGCTTAGATATAGTGGAATTGTTAATTGAGAAAGAAAAAAATTGCCAAATAACAATTTGACATATTAGGTTTAATTTATAGCCTCGAATTACCTTTAATATCCACAGATTTTATGCATTTAAATTATTGTCAATTTTAATGCACCAAATACCATTGTCAAAAATGTTAAGATGATTACTTGTATGACAATTTATACCATCATAAAGATTTACATATATGGATTTATAATTCTGTACACTTTGATTATGAACTTTGACTTATGTTTTATCATCATCTTCCGAAATTGTTTATTTATTTAAGTATCATTATTCTTATTACCTACTTTTGCATTTAGTGGATATATATTTTTATACTGTAGTTACAAGTTGCATACAGGGTCCACCTTAAGCATAATTTTGGGTCTGCTTGATGCATTTTTATAGGTGTGGCAGTTCCTTACCGCTTTACGATCTCAGCCACCGTAATAAGGCTTAGGAAGGTTTTTTAAATAGCTAAAATATCTTTAATTTTTAAATTTGTCTCGGCCATCATAGACCAAGAGACTTTTGATACACTGAAACATATTGGTAAGTACTCAGTAAATTCAAACTTGTCTGTACCAGCCTGGGTGTCTAGTCCAAAGCAAAGATGGTTTGAAAAATATCTAAGTGAATGTAAACAAATGTTGATGGTGGCAAGGAAAACACATGAAAAAGTGGCAGATTATGCCACTGCTTCTTGATATATACTACTAGCTGCAAATCTGTTGTAAACAATTGAATTATACAGGGCACCAGTTAAAAAAACATTATCTACAAATTTTCAGTAACACTCACTTTTAATGATAAAGTTTCATGGCCATCACCTTTTCAATGTTAGTTCAGCTTTGGGATTTTTAAAAGCTGCAAAGATTCAACTTTTTAAGTGTGTAAGAAGGATAAAAAGAATAATGGAGTACAGTATAAGCATATACAGTATATGATCTCATATAGTTTTATGGACAAGGAGAAGCAGAAGATCAGTCCCCATACCCCCATTTTCTTATTTTTCTTTGTCTGAGTTTTGCAGATCATTTGAAAATGGTTTTATCCATATATTAATATTTAGGGCCATGTTTATATTTTTATACACCTAAATAGGAAAAACAGATATGGGATAACTTGAGAGTCAAATTAGACAAATTCAGCATAAAATTAACATCTTCAATCCACACCAAAGAGTCTTTGCTTATGTATAGACATTTTATTTAATAAGTTTTTCAGCTCCTAAGTAATAAGTAATGTTACTATAATTAAGTTGAAACAAAAGGGTACAAAGAACAGTATACTAAACAGGGGATGGAGCCCCCATATTTATATTATATTTATTTACATTAGAATGCATGTACCTCTCTTTATTTCAAAGGATATCTCTGGGCATTTAAGTAAGTCATGAAAAGATTTTTATTTTGTAAGCAATCTGTTGTTGTTTTATATTTCTTCACTGAAATCATGTACAGAACTATGGTTTGTGTGTTTAACTGTATTACATTAGTCTGTCCTTGGCAAGGTAATGTGGACATGTGGGATATTAAAATTGTATTTGTCACCAAATCCAATAAAGTTTTGAATCTTCCTTTCTACTTTTTGTTTTTGCCTTATCATTGTGTGTGATTGCTTTACCACATTCTATAGACCTTTTTTTATCTTTCGGGGAAATGAAAAGTGGGCATTGACAGGAACAGCAAGCCACAGAGGTCATTGTAGTACTCTGATCTTTACAGCAAGGCATCAGTATGTGAGGGTGACATACCTGATGCTTTTATTAAAAAGCTGTTCCAAGCTTGCATAGTGCCAGAACTAAAAAGGTGCCTGAAGCACAAAATTGCGCCAACTACAGGCAAGGAGACAGAGATAGGTTGATGGTGAATTAAGAAATAAAATGTTTTATTTCTCAATTTAAATATGGTGTGCTGTACAACTTGACTTCACTCAAGCGTCCTAGCCGAGGCCGTAGTTTCTTAATTGATGATGGACTAATACCTACAGTTCTTTAAAATGCTTTTGGCAGTGAAGATATGTAAAAGATACACATTATATTTGTTATAAAATCAAAGTAGCCATTGGACACTTACACAACGTTATCTAGTCCATGGACAGGTACATGTTGTATGTAAGCTGTGGCGATATCATTTCATTTGCTATCATGTGTACATGTAGTATAAATTCTTTAAGGTTTTATATGTTTCATTTGAGGGATAGCTTAAGAGATTTTTGAAAAAATAAAATACAATAATTTCCTGCATTGCTATACTGGTACCTACTGTGTAAAATCAACATGCAGACTGCTCTTTGGATAAGTTAAATGGTACCTGATAAGGCACCAGTTACTTCAGTTGTTAAGGTGAGCCATAACTAGGGTCTTTCTTCTGTAATTAACATCTTCCAATGCTATGTGTTAAATAGGTGAGACAGGTAATTTCGACACCTTTCTAGATGATAATTTTCATTATTAACCATGTCTTACTGTTACATTACATGTACAGGCTTTATGGCAGGTAAAAAAATGTAATTTGGTCTGTGTAAAAATTCTGACAAATTAAAACAATATCTGCCAGACCAAAACAAAACTAAAGAAGTACAGCAAATTTTTTTTTATGTTTTAATGTTTTCAGGTGTATTTTTTCATCATTTTCAATCATGGATCATAAAGTTACTCAAATTTATATTTTCTATATACATGTATTTCATTGTTTGCAACATTTTTAAGAGAGAAAAAGACATATTTCCATACTTGATTATTTCACATATTTGTGTTACTTATCATATACATGGCTAGATTATATTTATCAACAATTTAGTGTCTTTATCATTTATATGTGTAGTTTACACAACTGTGATGTACATTTTGTAGTAACATGGTGCTGTATCATTAAAAGTCTATGCTTGTAATTGTGATGTTGCTTCATAAGTTAACATTCCATGAAATCTTTCTTAACAAATATATTTTGTATCGGTACTGTGATTGAAGGCATATGTGGTGGAACAGTTCAACTGTAACACTAAATTTAATTAAATATTAACATTTTTTCTTGTTATTTGAATGTGAGATGTCCTGGTTTCCTCAGTTACTGCCCTGTTGTGTCCAGGATACTAACATTTTTAAGTCTGTATATGATCATTTTTAACACTAAAAAAGGTTTGGCTTTTGGGCGTTAATTAAAAAACATGACCCATATCTTGCACAATTCAGAAATACATTATTCAACAAATGATTTTTTTTGCCTGTAATGCATTCAACATGAATTCTAACCAAGGTGCATTTTCCTCTTTGTGTTGCTGTCTTGGTAATTTGAACCCCAGTAGTACACATCAGCAATACCTGGATGCAAGAAGTCATGAAATTATTGAATACTTCATGACTTGCAAATCCCGTGTAACAGTTCTGGTTTCTTTTTCCATACCTTCATGCTCAAGGGGTTTTCTTTCTTTTTATCTTTTTCTACCCTTTTTCTTCAGATATGTATAATGTTCTTTACACAAATAGTTTTTCCCTGGATTCTTTAATTTCTCTGAAAATAGTTTTTGAAGATTGTGCACATTTGATAAATAATCCTAGTTTTTTTCATGCACAGATTTTAGTAGTTCGTTAGGGTCTGAGTACTACGTACAATAGGAATAGTCATTGTGACTTCCAGTGTCTTTTTTTTTTTTTTTTTTTTTTTTGCATTTTTTTAGACATTTCATTTTCACTGAGATGCAGTGGTTGTTGTTCCAAAGTCCTTCCAAACAAATCACCTTTTTTGGTTCTTATTTAAATAAGCTTATTTTTATAGTAGCAGTTGGACACATAGCACGTAAACTGTGGGATGGGTCTTAGTACCGCTACCAGTGTTTCTACACAACAAGGACTCACTTTCCCACAATGCAATTTTCCTCATGGAGAATGTGGAAAATGCCTATAATTCTGTAACTTATGCATGTGTTCATATAGTGTGATTGCATTAAATATGACCGAGTGCTGAACTGAGTGTTTAACAGTTCCTCATTCATGGAAACAAATAATTTTACATTTGATCATACTGGCTGAAAATGTAGAGAACTCACAACAACGCTGTCATTAGCAGCACAGTTATATGTTTTCTGCTTGCAGCGTTTTAAGTCTCTACGTCAAAGTTCCATAACTGAATGCCTGATTAGATTTGCTGTTTTGTGTATAACATTATCACTTATGTCTGGCCATGTAGAAATAGGTGCTTATTTGAGCATGAGGAAATATTTTAGTTTTGCTTGAGGTGACCAAAAAATCAACTAAAATTGGCTTTATTCCTAAAACATGTAATGTATGGGTAATGTGTTTAAGTTTATTGTGAACAGATGTATTTAGTTTTATACACGTGGGTGTTTGTGCTGTAGTGAATGTTTACAGAATGACGTGCAAGTCTGTACATATGTATGCATCTTTGGGTGTGAATTGTTTTTTTTTTGTTTTTTTTTTTTTGGGGGGGGGGGGGTATTTGTGTGCAAATATTGTCCAAGTAATTATGGACTAAAATTTTTGTAAAAATGAAAACAGAAGAAAACAGCCTGATGAAATTTAGGTCATATATTTAGATATTATTTCGGTGTGGTATTCTGATCAGGTTAGTAGGTATTCCACTGCCTCACAGACCCAGGCTATTGATGTGTTAGGAATGGGCTGCACTGAAAAAAAGAAGATACAGTGAACTGATTTCCATTAAGAATACATAATAAAACACAGCAAATGCTTTTATCTTTTAACCTCACTTGTGTAATCCACCTCCACACAGCGATTCCATGTCATTATGCATAATATATATATTAATATGGGTCTGCTGCAAAAAAGGTATGAAGTACAGTAACAAAGCAAAAAAATTGTGCTGTTATTTTTTTCTTTCTTTTCTTAGTTCTAGGAAAATTAGTTTCTGGAAAAATATTAAAATATGGTTGTTTGTTAGAATATTTCACAGGATACTCACCAGATTGGCACTTCTTGAAGTTTGAAAGGTGCACATGTTCAAAAACTTTTCAGAAAGAAAACTAAAGTATGTTTGACCTTATGCAGTAATATTGGACTGCATTCACTTTTGAAAATGTTGATTAAATTCATATCTTTATATCACCAGACTGACCAAGCTCACCAGCTGTGTAAGTAGAGAGAGAGAGAAAGAGAAAGTGGATGTTGGGAGACTCTAAATAGCCCACTGGTCTTTGGCCGACCCTTATGTCTTCTCTATATCTCTGATGTGGCCATTTTTTCTTGCAGATGTTTAAAACAAATAAGAGTTATCTTTATTTTGTGTTGGAGTCTAATTTCAAAACATTTCGTTTTGCTTTGCAGCTGGAAGCAAATTGTGTACTCTTGAAGTCAAGCAATTTTTTTTGCCTGATGCATTCAATTGTTTGATTGTGTTTTTGTTTTCTTTGCAGATAAGGAAATTTGAAAAATTAGAAACAGATGAAGAACGAATAGAATTAGGAAAACATGTTTACGACAATTACATCATGAAAGAATTGTTATCACAGAGCCATGTAAGTATATACCACTACACTAGATGCACCGGTCTACATTTTTTTTTCCACTTCAAAATTGTATTTTAATCCTGTTTTTGTCTAAGCACAGATATATTTCTTAATGTAGAATTTTGCAATCTTTACGGTCTTTACAAATCTTTATTAAACGGTGCTGAATGCATCTTAGTGACTTATCACACATTGAAAGTGTATTTTGTTTTTATGGATTATGTCTAGACATAAAGCAATAGCTGCATCTGTCGTTGCCATTAGCAGAAGTGTGTGTGTGTGTGTGTGTGTGCATGTATACGTGTGTAACTGTCAGTAGATATAGCAGCCTGGCTGTCTAGTTAACAAGCGTGTTAGAAATTAGACACTCAATTAGCTGAAGTATGGTAATGACTTGATTTTTTCAATGAGAAAAATTATCAATCTTTTAGATACTGGTACATAATTTTGGAATCATGAAAAATCATGTATCTATATGGCATTTGGGGTGCTTTTACTGTATAAAGTAAAATAACAGGGTAGCTTGCTTTTCAATTTTGTTGCTACCACTCAGTAGGAATGTTGAAATTTAAAGAATTTATTAAATAAAAAAATGCAATAACTGTAAAATTCACAATATCCCCTTTGAAAAGTACAAGTCATTACCATAATTATTGATGGAAAATATATGTGAGGGAATCATATTGGTATATTCTAATGCATATATTCAATCTGCAATCCTGTTTCATTAAAGCATCAGTAAAATGATAACATCTGCAGTTTCTGTGACGAGATAAATTAGTGGAAAATATACTGATTCATACATTACTGGATTACAGTTGAATGTTATTTTCCTGGAACCATAATACTCCAGACCTCTTCTCTTCCCAGTATTTTTTTCACTTCTACCCTACTGCACAATGTCTGGGAATGCCTTTAATGCTAAGTAGACCAGATATAATTTTTGCCCTTTCATTAATATTTCAAGGAATTCCCCAGCCTTTGCTGGTATGTGATTAGGGAGGTGGAAGTTTCTATTTCTTCATTATCACCATTTTAAGCAAACTGTAGAAGGCAAATCCACAATAGCAGAAGAATGAGCAGTCCCTGGTTGTGAAGGTTTATGATTGACTTCTTAGATGTTGCATGCTTTTTTTTCTCAAGACAAAGCATGATATTCCTGTGAGGAAATGGATCAATGATGAAAAGAAATTAAACCCTTTTCTAACATTTATCAAAATGTATGCTTTTTGTGGGAGCACCTTAGCAAAGCTCTGTAACTCTGTAAACTAAGTCTGGCACGTGCCTGTTAAAATGGTTTTGCATACCATATTTCTCGGAGTAGTAGAATTTGAAATTTGTTGTACTTGAAGTTAATAGGCTATGGCTTATCTAGAAATTATCAGCAAAATCATGTCAAGCTTAATATTTTATTTCAAGTAAACGTTGCAAGGTGTACGGTAGGTGAGAGAAGATTCCAGTGAGCAGGGCTGTACCTGTTGGCCCTATCATTCAGTGCGTACCTGTTAGTGAAAGTGTACTTCATGGAATTCATTCCCATGGCCTGGATATATCTCAGACTGTTAGAACACAAAGTCAGCAGAGAAGCCAGACAAACTATAGGTTTTCTGTGTTGTCCTAATGATGATAATTACAAGTGATAACTAGGTCATATAGTATTAGGCATGTATCAGGAGACCAGTGGTCACATGGGACAAATGTACTGTGGAAAAAATTCTTTACCACAAAAAGAAAAAAAAAGATGGATATTATAGCCCTGTAAAAACTCTGTTTATAGGGGATGTGTTGGCAAATGGTTGTCATAAGAGATGAATGATGCTAGATTATTGCATATTGCATTATTGATGCAGTAATTTCTGTCTCTACAAATGAAGGCGGTAATGTTTTCATCTGCGCTGGTTTATATATGGACAAGATGTCTCAAAAAGCTCTTCACAAAATTTGGTGAAATTTCCGGGATAGACAGTTATTGAGGAAGATAGCAGTTGCTATTATAACTGAATGCTAGCCTCCTAGTGTGTTTAAAGATTTTTTTTTTGTTATTTATTATTTTAAACATTTTTGCCTTGGCATAGGACTATGTTCAGGGAGTGCTCTCTTACATGGGCATTCCATTCCCAGCTCTGTGCCAACCATACACCATCAAGTTTAAGGATTAAAACCCATTTTGTGTCCAAAACAACCAATAATTGCAACCAAATCCATTATTCAGTGGGATAAAAGTCTAGGTCCAGTTCCAGGTCTGTTAGAATGGGATGATAGATTAGACTTGTACAGACTAGACCTATTTTTATACCGCAAGTTGGTAAAACTGGTGTCATTAGACACCCAGGTGAGAGTTGTAATAGGGCCTCTCTGTAAACTTGCCATCAGATTGTACAAGATAAACTGATTTTTGGCCTGAAGTTATCCTCTCTGTTCACACCTTTAGATTCAGTCAGGATTGATTTGTTTTTGGGAAAGTGAAAGAAGCATGTTCTTGGGCAATTTAAGAGTCGTGTTCAGCCTGTAGATTGAAGGGTTACCTGGACAAGATTTAATTGGCATTAACATAAATTGTGAAATATTCCAACCACTGCAGCATATGATTTCTGCTAAGATCATTTCGGAACATTAAACTAAGGATTCAGTATTGTTTCACTAACAGAACAATAATACTATAGATAGATAGATAGATAGATAGATAGATAGATAGATAGATTTTTTTTTTGTTTCATGAACAACAACAACAAAATAATGATGACCTTATTTAGTATTGGCATAACACCAAGAAAGATCTCCAATTTTTTCACCTAGCCCATATGCTACTTTTGTATACATTTGTATGAGCGAAAAAAAATTTAACAAGAACTGCAGGCGTGGTAGTATGTATATTGCGTTTTACCAATCTCCCACTGAAATGTAAACAAATGCTGTAATTTTTCACTTTCCAGACATACTCCAAAGAAGCTGTAGACCACGTGCAAGATATGCTCACACAAGCACAGAAGTCAAGACAGCTACCAGCCAATGTATTTGAGGTGAGAGACTACAGAGAAGTAGTTGGAACCCATGACTACCTTTCTGTAGACACAACTCTATGGTGCAGTTGCGGTTGCTTATGCATGCACTCAGCATTGAACGTGTATGACATATACTTTCACATGCACGTGTCTGATTGATGTTTTGAATCATGAGGCCAGTCTGTGCCATGTAAACATATTACCCCTTTAGGCCACCAGTCTTTAACACACCACAAGACTGAACATAAAACCCTTAGCCCATAGTGTAATTCATCAAAGTGAGATATGGTTATTTGATTTTTATGTACAGACACAGATGTGTCTGTACATATTGCCATCACCTGCGTCTGTCGTCGCCGATGGCGATGGCGATGGCGATGGCNGAAAATCAGGATGATCGGGCCATTATTGTAGAAGTTATGCTTTTTTCTTTCACTTTTCAACATATATGCAACACTGTAAACACATTTCAAGGAAAACCGATAGGCCTGTTGTCGTGAAACTCTCAGGAGTAATCGATCTTACTAAAACGGAGGTCAAGTTCGAAAATTGGCATGCAGCCTGAGTTGGAAAAGCAGTCTAATTGGCTTCTTTTTCTGGAAGTTATACATTTTCAAAGTGTGAACTTGAACTCTCATGGGCCTGAAGCCTTATGCTTGTTACACATTTTACTTTCATTGGTATTACCTGTTGAGCATAATTAAAATTTGATGTTGAATTTACAGTTTAACATAATGTACTTTTGCATCAGAATAAACAGTAGCCTATTTTGTGCATAGTTATTTCCTGCTTTTTGTCTGTACATTTGACAGCTTTGCTGCCTTGTTAGTGAATGCAGGTTAGTCGTAGGTGAATTTAGTGCAGAATTTATTAATATATTTTGAGATTTCATAACCTGCCTAAAATTTCCCTAGCCAAATTTACCCTTCATAATTGAGAAGTCTGATTTTGTATTTTTCACCTCCAATTTCACTCAGCTGAGGTCTTGGGCTTCTTTCTAACACCACTGATGTGACATAATGAAGAAACAAAATTTAGCAAAAGCACTTTTAATATATAGATTTGATTCTGGGAAAATGCAATTGGCATATTGGGGCATCGTTATCTTAGCAGACTAATATCTTTCTGATCTTGCTTTGATAATGTCTTTTTCTGTTTCTTGGATAAATGCAGGGTTCATTATCTCCTGCTTCTGTTATCAGTGATAAAGTCCTGGCTGAGTGAATTGAATGTCCTGGGAGTTGTATGATTTATTTAGTGGTATGAAGAAAGAAAAAAATCCAAAGTAAGAATAAATGGGGTATTCTAGAGGCGTCTACATTTGTGGGAAAAGAAAAAGCATATCTTTTATAATATACATGTCTTTCATGGTTTTCACTGATATTTGATATCTTATTTTTATTATATCTTATATTTTTATTTTAGCCATATATTGAAGAAATTTGCAATTCCTTAAGAGGACATATATTTCAAAATTTTTTAGAAAGGTAAGTTACTTAACATATCTTTTTTATTTGATTAATTTTTTTTGTCTTAAAACTCAAAACCAGGTGAAAACTGATATAGCTACCATCATATGGCACTATATGTTGATTAAACTTCTTAGACAAAAGTTCAATATAACATTATATGGGTTTTTTATTCAACATAAAATATTACGTCTCACTTCTGTCTTTGGATGTAATTAATTTTTCACGTTGGGACACTGTGACCTCATTAAATCTGCAGCTGTGGAAATATATGCAACTATGCTCCTGGTGACTTTTTTTTTTGCCTGTCAATAGCATGATTACATAACTGATCATGTGCCTAATTGGAGAATCATTTTGCACACACCACCTTTTACTCTGGGTTCTTTCTTAATTACCATTGTTAACAGACTTTTTTTTCTCCAGGTGTATTTAGTTTCAAATTATATTCACTTGTGTCCATGACGTCAAACATAAACTGTGCTGGAACATAAGCCTGTAGTTAGCTTTAAAGTTTTTTTCATTTGTTAAGCAAGTTTTCCTCCCTTGAATGCCCTGGATAGGTGAAATTGTACCAGACTTTAATCATCTTACCTACCTACATATCTTTGTGCTTTGGGTATAATACTGCAACATGCCATTATCAAGGACCTCTATCCTGGTAGATATTTCCAATTATTTTTGTGATTTAATGTTATTATATCCTAATGCAAAGTATAAAACCATACCAATGAATGTCTAGACAATTATCCAGCAGGTCACCTGACGGTGGCAGCGCCATATCTACAGGGAGGGCCCAGTAAGGAATGCATTATCACTATAACTACTGGTTAAAATGACTTCTGTTTTTAAAACAGAGCTGCTATTTGTTGTATAATTTACTCTTATTTTTTCCCATTCAAAGTTAGTTATATCTGTGAAGATGCAGGAACCTGAAGAACTGGTGTCCATATTGTATTGGGATGTCTGGGATTTAATTTATGTAGATGTCTTTTATCTTAGCAATTCCCAACGGCTGTGAAACTGTTACATTTAATCAATTGATAATCAGCTTTGTTTCTTCACAGTTTAAGCATACAATGAATATTGCACTGATGACACGATGAATAGAAATGGTTATATTAACAAGTGATTATAAGCTCAGCAAATTAATGGGTAAAGATGATGTCCATGACAATACAACTGCTGTTACTATTAGAGTTGCTGTTGGAATATGGATAGCAGGAACATGGCCACTGACCTGGATAATTTCTTCAGGGAGCTTCTTTTATTATGTATTATTAAACACAGTTACATTCTGTGAGGCATCTGTGCCTGAGAGATAAGGGACAGAGAAGGCAACCTGGAGACTGATGACTTTCATTATAAGGTGAAAGTGTCTTGTCAGAAGCCAGTCCAAACATTGGGCCACTTTACTAGGCTTTCTTTTCTTTGCATATTGACCTTTTTTCTCAGTATATTTCTTTTTTTCTTTCTCAGTATGTGTCTAATAGGCCATGGTGTGCAGGTGTCACATACCTTGCAATTCTTGTCATATTACATTATGGTGATTTGCACTATTTGTTTTGATTAACAATGAAGAATTCTGAAAAAAATGGAGATCCCTAGCCAAGTTTCCCATTTGCCTAAATTCCAAGTCAAGCACTTACTATCAGTTGTCTAGTAACTATTCCTTGCCGGGAGGCCCAGCATTTCTTGAAAGCGGCATAATGTTTCTTGAGAAAAAAATTTTATCTTCCTCTCAGCTACAGGACCAAGTGTTATCTATCTGTCACTGGGGACTGTCTACCTTCATCAATACATAGATGTCCTTAAGGTAAATGAACATGGAGAGAGATCACATAGTCTTTTGCGTGTGGAAAACCAACCAAGGGAATGCAAAAATTTGCACTGAATCTACCAACCATTCATTAATACTAATTGATTACAACAAACTAATTTACTGGGCTAAATTTAATTGTAGGAGGATTCATGTGTAGCTGTACTATAAAAACAACAAATAGGTTTCATTTCACTGTCTGCTGTTTAAGTAAAATTTGTTGTCAATGAATTAATGTTAAAGAAGTTGCATATAAAAAGCTCAACCATAATTTTGAAATCGCCATAATCAAGTGGGAAAATGGGAGAAAATATGTTATTTTGATGGGAAGCAAAATGATTGCTCTCCCTGTTGCTTTATTTTATTATACAGCATAAACCTGTCCATTTGAAATGATGTTCCTACAATTGGTTTTACTGAACTAAAATTTGACAACATTTCAAAATTTTGAGAGGAAAAAAAAATGTGTATGAAAGTTATCCTCTCCAATTATCCTTTGACATTGTATTTTGTGTTTTGCCTGAATATGGTGCAGTACATTTAAACCATATTGGATTGTTGATATATAGTGATCAATTACAGTAATGTAATGATGGATCATTATACAAAGCAATATAGGCAATAGTATACTATACCATTTGCCATAAATGTCTAAACCCAAACTTCATGGAGAAAAAACACTCAACTGCTTGAGCAGGTTTTTAGATTTCCAAACACCCACATAGAATTCCATGGAGATCCATATGCTTCATGATTACCAGGAAATAACTAGTCTCCATAGGTGATGTGTATGGCTGTGGAAATCCTGCACATATCTTAAATAATTTGTGTTATCTGGAAATCCTCGTGTGAGATGTGCCATTCTTTTTTTCTTTTTGTTTGTGAGGTATGTCAATAAAAAAGATAAATGAAATTTTTATTGTGTACCTGGAAAAAAAAAGGTATCAGCCAGTTTCAGAAACAGCACCCGATGTAGAACTATCTGCAGTAGGTCTAACTGGTACAGGTTGATAATTGGTCCATTTATGGCTGTGTTCAGCACAGGATTTAAACAAAACGTGTTTTAGGTATAAATTCATTAGAGAGAGGTTTGATTGCACTCTACTGTTCTATTATTCTGTATGTACTTCCTGAGTCATATAGCCAGTGCAGTGACTGTTGAGTAAAAAGAAGGGTATCAGTCAGGGACCTACTTGAAATAAAAACTAAAACATAGGAAGATTGAACTGTTTAAACTGTGACCATTGTATCTCTTACTTTATCTGGACAAAATTGAACTCCATTTTCATGAAGAGAAATTTTAATAGAACCCGTGTCCTCTTTTTATTGTTAGAAATATTTGCTTTAGTGCAAAAAAAGGGTCTGCTTTTGTGCTTGATGCTGTAAAAGGTTTTTATTGATGTCACAGATGTGACTACACTGATCCCAAATCAAAGGTGAAAACATTAATGGTGAGACTAGGAGTACAATTGCTGAAGAGTTCCTGGTGGTTTTTATTATGGCTTTTATGTTGTCAGATACAATTATTCTCTACCAATCATTCTCAGTCGTGAGCTACTTTATTTGTTCTCAAACTCAACCTTTGCTTTTGTATACTTTTTTCAAGAAGACAGTAAAGCATTGGCCCTTTTATAGTTATTCCTTTTCAGGGCAATAAAGAATTAGTTGTGTCATTTTATGAAATATCTTGCGTGATTGAGTTATCAGGAATGTCAATTTAATTGAATGTATAATGAAGCAAATGGTTTGTATGTGAAGATGCAGACTAATGAAAAATCAATTGTGTAATTACACTATGTGCAATGAGAGTGATTTAATTACTTGATTCACTGTGTGATCTTAGTGTAGAATATAAACAGTGAATGTCTTGTTAGAACTGCTTAATTTGTCTCTGGTTTTAAATACTGTATTGTTTACTAGTTTTATTTATTTATTTTTTCAGCGAAAAATATACAAGGTTTTTACAGTGGAAAAATTTAGAGCTTAATATTAATGTAAGTAGTCACTTAGTGAAGAGTCCATGTGTGTATTTTGCCTACTTATTTTGTTTGCTTGTTTGAAGCTGATAGCAATTGATTTGATATATATATTTCAAAGGGGCATAATTTTATGCTAAAATCTGGATATTACATTTCCTTGCTATATATCTTATATTTTTCAAAAAAAGAAAAAACCTGAAGCCATACTGGCATTGCAAATGTAATCCAGGCTGAGTTGTTTTTTAATTCTGAGTTTATCTCTAAATGGTGCCAAGGAATGAATAGCCCTGTTTTTTTTGTTTTTTTTTTTTCCAACCCTGGTTCCAGTTTTTCTCAATTTCACATGTGGTTCTTTTCTTTTTCAGTTAACAATGAATGACTTCAGTGTACATAGGATTATAGGCAGGGGTGGCTTTGGAGAGGTGTATGGTTGTAGAAAGGCAGACACAGGAAAAATGTGAGTACAGCTCCTGTAACAATTGAAAGAGTACACACCAATAATATAATTAATACTGTTAGTGTTTGAGGATATAAGCTCTCAACAAACTTGTCATGATATTGTAGTGCAATGAAGGGGGAAATTGTGTTTGTGTTTTTTATTTTCTGCAGTAAGTGGACAGAAATGCCAAGGACACTTGCCTGGTTATTGAAGTTGACATACTTTCAAACCTTTATTTTGTTGTTTCAAAATGGCTTTGACATTGGATATATTTAGTAGATATCAAATGATGTAAATTGGATAATTGGATAACTTTCTGTAAGAAATATTGTAAGTTCTGTATTTCCTATATGAATTTGACAGTGCAGAGAGGCAAAATATAAGCTTAATTTGAATATTGTAATTTATTTACTTATTTTTTATATTGAATTGTGTGTAATATGTAGGGATAAGCCGGTCAGTCTCCTAAAATTAATATTTAACTTTAGAATACACATTTCCTGCTAAAAGTTCCTCAGCAATTATATATACACTGTACATATACCTCAGAGATTATTTGAACAAGACAGAAAGCTGATAATATGCTTTGGAATGAATTCATGAGGTCATTGCCTTGTTGTGTGACTGGCCAGTGGAAACCATTTCATACACGCAGAAGACCAGAACTTCTGTGACTTGGGTTCATCATTAAAACAAGGGCCATCTTTGTGAAGTATAACCCGTTTCCCAGGGTATGAACCAGTGCCTGGAATGACTAGAACTATGTAACAGGACATGTATTGATCTGTTATAGGTCATTTCTGACAGCTTTCTAGGAAATGAAGTGCTAGATGATTGTGTCTGTGATTACATCTAGTTTCCCGTCTCTTTGATCAGCTGTTAAATGTTTGATTACACATCTCTGTGCCCCCACACTAGCAGCAGGTTGTCAGCTTGTTAAAACACCATCATTTCTGGAAGAAAACTTAGTTTGCAGTGGAAAATACCAAAGCTATAATAGGTAGCAATTGATGGATTTCTTTTAGTTTCCTTTGCTTGGAGGATATAATTTGGAAGCCTTGCCAATATGTATCAATACTCTGCTTAATGCAGTTGAAATAATATGACTCTGCCGCACAGTGTTTGATTGGAACTATGGTGCCTGTCAGAGAAAATGTGACTTAAGTGCCAAATACCTTATAGATTTATTTTTGGCAATTGTTCTTTGTAAGAAGAGTAAGAGGAAATTTTGGGATAATGAAGTATTCTGTGCAGACGAAGAGAGTGCTATTATAGATCTGATTTTATGGTATTCCAGTTCGGAAATTGAAGTTGTTGTCTGGTTCCTGAACCACAGCAAGTTATAATTCTGCCATTCTTTAATTTTGCTTTCACCAGCTCTGTGACCCAAGTCCAAAATACTTTATTTAATGAATATACCAGACTGCACAACCCCCGCACCCCCACCCCCATTACCATCCCCTCTTGTACACATAACAGCATTGATTTGTGCACTGCATAAAGACTATTTGAAGAGCTGTCTCCACTCCCATTGCCTCCCCCCTCCCACGCCTGCCTACACTCAGCTATTGTCCTGGAGACCACATGGAACAGCAGTCAAGAACCACTTCAGGCCTTGGGTAGACTGATTAGCCTTTAGATCATGCATGACAACCCTGAATGGATGGCAGGATGAACATGTTCAGTTAGCAGTTTGAATGTAATATGTCATCATCTGCTCAGGGCAATTTTTTCCTACTGGCCAGGGAATGAGAGTGGTTCAGGGTGCATGTTCCGAAAATATGTATATTAAAAAGTTATTGTATAATATAGTTTGAATGAAAAGGAATTCATACGGAGAACATATGTTAGTGATATCCCATATGAAGTATAGGTAGAGAAATGATGAATATTTGATCATGGTGGTTCAGCATTTAAACCACTATAATTAGCTGTACCATTTTTATCTCTCAAACACTAACTTGGTCTGTGTAGTAAACCCTGATTGGTTAAGCTTGCTATTATTACTGGTAATTTCAGTTTGAATTCACATTCTGACTGCACTTTTGTATTGATGCTAGGTAGAAGTTTTGTGTTTTACAAAATCAATAATTGGCTGTTGAGGCTGGATGTGTGTCATGAAAAAGACCTTCCTTGGAGCACTTGTTGTAAAAGGTTGACGCTGAAATCACCATTAAAGTAGAAAATGGGAAATTCGAAATATAGTTGCTAGGAAATAAGATCTTCATTCAATCTTCAGAATCGCGATTCTTTTAATCAAGTAAAATGACAGTGTATTCCTGTCCCAACTCCCCAATTCGTGCTATGGAGACATTTTTGCCTCCTTACCTGGTCACCCTGGGGTTCACAGTTAGTTTTTCCTTCAAATTTGATCAGTGCAAGTAAACCACGTTATGCATGTCTGCCACGAATAAGAACCAAGATATCACAGGCAGGGGATCCTAGCTGTTTAAAGAATAAAGGCTTTTCACATTTATTTTTATGTTAATAAGACTCACTGTTTAAATAGCTATACCTGTATGTTGTATAATAAATTTTTCTCAGTTATCAGTGTTTAACGCCTGGGAAAAATTAATTATTTATAATTATACCATAGAAGTAAAACTGTTTCAAATAGCAGATGAAAAATACAGTTAAATTTATAGAATTTGTATTCTGTTAAAATAACGATTTTTTTTTTAGGTATGCAATGAAGTGTTTAGACAAAAAGAGAATAAAGATGAAAGGAGGAGAAACATTAGCCCTAAATGAAAGAATAATGTTGTCATTGGTCAGCACAGGGGTAAGTGGCTGTATTAATTGTCTGTTTTATGTAATCAGTTTAATGTTTATTTGTAAGACATTACTTTTAACTTTATGTTAATGTAATGATGAATGTAATGAATTTATTGATTATCAATTTTAGTTCATTCATCAGAAATGGAAACTTGAATCCCAGTACTTCGTAATGAGTCACTCTTTTATGTGCTTTGTTTGAAAAAACAGCATTTGACAAATCTGTAAGTCTTCATGATTTCTTTCAGGTACAAAATGTTTCTAGCCAACTCCAGTTATTTTATGTTCCAGACTGAGCTTATCAAACAAACTAGTTTTTGTTAACTTGATGGCTGCTTGAACATGAAACGGTTTCTTAGTAAAAAAAAGTTCCTCTATAATAAGCATTTACTGATCTAAATTATACTATTGTCTTTTTTAGGAGGGAAGCCCATTCATAGTATGTATGACATATGCATTTCAAACTCCTGAGAAGCTCTGCTTCATTTTGGACTTAATGAATGGTGGGGACCTTCACTACCATCTCTCACAGCATGGTGTCTTCTCAGAAAAAGAAGTCCGGTTTTATGCTGCAGAGGTCATCCTTGGTTTGGAACATATGCACAATCGTTATGTTGTCTATAGGGACCTTAAGGTACGTGGAAGCCAGCCTGAAATTCAATTTCACATGGAAATTCTGTGAACTGTTTCTTAAGGTTCAGCAAATCATGTTACTTGCCTGCAGCCTTCTGTGGTGTGGTATTGTCTTACTGAATAGACTGAATTTAGTTTTATCTTTGCCCTTCCTGTATGTGTTCCCTTGATAATAATTGCAGTCATATCAGGAAGAACAATGCCCGATAATAGAGATGAAGCAGCGGTTTGTGTTCGTTCTATATCTGTGGTGAGGTATCTCTCCTGTGTTCTTTCTAAAGCAGTGTTATCTATTCTGTGTTCCTTCTGTAACAGTGGTTAGCTGTATCTCCAGTGTTCCTTCTGTAGCTGTTGTTAGCTATATCTCTTATTTTCCTTCTGTAGCACATTATTCAAGCCCAGGTGAAAAATGATGGTTTACAGGTAGCATATTTCTTCAATGGGCAGGTCTATTGTTTGTACATTTTAGCAATAAAAAATCAACTAAAAACAATAGGAAGAGATCAGCTAAATGTGAGAAAAACTAAATGGTGTGAATCAACTAATAAACATTCATAGTAGGGCTCTTAGGATAGACTATGGCAGTACTGCTCACCAGCTTGGTGGTGGTTTTAGCGGGAGGAGGAGGGGGGGGGGGGGGTTCTGTGATGAAAAGGGTCTGTCTTACAACAATCAGTCAAACAGACCATTGAAAACTCGAACTTTTCTTGTCAATTTTTCAGTAGCTGAGATAACAGTGTAATTTCATTATTCATTAAATATTGTATTATTCACACCATTTATCGTTGCAATTTAAAAAATGAAGCACTAAGGACAAGACAAGAAAAACTAGGCACCATTTGTCTCGACACCACAGTTAGGCATGCATGTAATGCACATACAACCGGGTCATTAACGATAATGGGGCTAGATTTCCGGTCTATTGTCTAGTTAGAAGACTATAGCTCAGTTGGGACAATAGCAAGAATAAGAGCACATTCAGAAAAGACGATCTGACGACTAACTGATCTGCCGACTAAGTATGGCCGACCCCACTTAAAAGCGATGTTGCTAATTTCCTGATGGTCTCCCCACCATGTTAAGACATTAGATAATGATTCCCCTATACTGATCTGTTCTCTTACTTATTACTTTTTTTTCTAGACACTGTTTTCTGCAGGGATGAGATTTTTCCAACTATTGACAGGTTTTTGACTTTTTGGGAGCCAAAAATATCATTCGTCTACAGAAATGTAGGTGCCCCCCCCCTCCCCCCGGACTCCACAACATATTTTCCAACTTCTTCACTAAATGGCAGTCACATCCCTGATTCAGTTAATACATAAAGAGTGACACTTACATTTCTTTCTGTCATTATTCTACAATGTTCTTCCCTTTGGATCATTGGAAAACCCTTAATAAAAGATATTAACAGTAAATGTACATAGTTAATTCATTAATCTCCTTATTAATTAATATTTTTAGTTCACAAGGCTGGCGATGGTAACCAATACAACATGTACAGAATACTGTTAGGGGTTGTCCCCGCAGCTCGTTTTTCTTTTATCTAAGTACTTTTCCCCCCAAGAGAGTTGATTGGAAAGGAAGATTTATTCTGTTAAGTTTAAGCAAGTTGATGACATTGTCATTGATTCTGTGCAGCTATAAAACAAAAACCTCAAATTTCATTTGTTTTCAAAAAAAAAAATTTTTTTGGCACACAATATTAATTTAAAAATCTCTAATTGGATTTGTCTTCTTTGTTTTAAAGCATTCCCTAAAATAAAAAGAAGCCATTTTAACAAACATGCTAAAATAGAATAAGCTTTGTGATCACTCTGTAGACAGGAGCAGGCCATTTTTTGATAGCATCCTCCTGCCATCTAGCAACATCTGTGGAATCTTTTTTAGATGAGCAATCCTCTTAAGATTTGATTATCAATATAAATATCATACTGGCTTTCCTGAATAAACCATTCCAGTGACAAGAACTGAAAATTGCCCTGTGTGATCACTTTCTGTTGACATAGAAATGTTGTTCTTGGAATATTTTCCTCCCACCTTGAAGCTCTGCAACAGTTATTACATGTGTAGAGTATTTTTTAGAATGGCTGTACATGTCAAACTTGATAATCAATATAAGTAGCATACTGGGTTGCCATTATAATCCAGTCCTGTGGGGTATAAATATTGTGTTGGGGCCTAGAAACTTACATTGGCAATAAAATAATCTTTGCTGAAATGTTATATTGGTAATTGTGTTAAAATACTGCATAAGGATGCAGTGAATGATATTGATCAGCAGTTCTGTAAAGAAACCAGACAGCTACTCTATAAAATTAATATTACTGAAATGTTCATTATAATTAGACTTTCTGCATTCTGCTTCTAACATACATACAGTTTTGAATGCTCACACGCCTACATGTTACAGCTATAGATATCACCCAACGGAAATAAGTTAAATCTTGTGAGACGTGAAAAAAATTATCTTTGAAGAATTAGATTTTTATGCCAGTACGTTTTTTTAAAAAAGAAATTGTGGGTTGATAACCCAGTGATTGACTGGTCTCTGGATGCCCATCAACTTCTTGCATCGGCCACTTCATCAGGTGACACGCAATTTCATGTCAATTGTGAAAGGCATCAATGGAACCTGCTACTTGTAATTTTTTATTGCTTTGTATTTGATAGCAAGTTAAAGTGTCATTTGATTTATAGTTTAATTTTGTGGGGGCCTTGTACAAATCAACTGAGACAGGTTTTGCATTAGATCATTATTGATGAGCTTGGAAAAGAGTGAAAGAGTGAAAAAGAATGTTCTTTTTTCTGTGAGTTTAATATATGATGGTTTTGCATTTTCTGAAATTATTTTCAAAGTGAGATTGAAGAGAATTCTGAGACTTTGATTGAAAAGGGACACAAAAAGTTCAATATTTTGTTCAGGAAATAAAACGATTTGTATATCTGTAATTAGAAAATGACATCAAATCCAGAACAAACTCAGTCTATACCAAAATGTCTCTTTGAGCCCAGCTAATAGTACATATAAATGATAGCATTTTTATCCTATGCCTGCATCTATTATTCATTCTAACTGGGTCATCCCCAGGAAATGACACATTCAGGGTAATTACCTTTGCCAAGCATTAAATAATAGAGACCAAGGAGTATACAAAGATTATATAACCATGTATACTGCATATATTCAGGTGACAGCCCTGTGCTGTTAAATTCCATCTCATTGAAAATCTGGTGCTATCGATTTTTTATAGCTTTATCTGTAGATAAAAACCTCTTTTCACCTGTAGGACAGACATTTTATTATTTCTGTAGCTCTGAACTACATGTGATATTATTGGTACTAGGCAGTACAGAAATGTCCACCTTAACATTGATGACAACTTGATTGTCATTAGAATAGGGTTTTGATTTTATGAGATTTAAAATTTACACAATATAAATTTTGTATTAGTGGACATGTTTTACTGTTAAAGCTGTAAAGTCTTGCAAAGTAACATAAATTGTACATTAGAGAATTCATATGTCTGGTTGATAGCTAATTTATGTTTTTATTTTATAGCCAGCCAATATCCTATTGGATGAACATGGTCATGTGAGGATATCCGACTTGGGCCTGGCTTGTGATTTTTCAAAGAAGAAGCCCCATGCCAGTGTGTAAGTTAATCAGTATTGATTTTCTGTTGTGGGATGTCTGCTGGATTGTATGAGCTTTGCTATGGAAAAAAGCCAATTACAGGTTTTCTTGCACTTAATACTTAGACCTGTTTTCACAAGTTATTTCTATGTTTGAAAAGTTGTACTTAATGTTAACAGTTCTTAAAGTTGTTGAATTCGAGTTCAGTTTTGTTATGATTTTCAAAATGAGGGGGATGGATGAAGTTTTAACATAGGAAATGGTATCATATAAGGTCATATTTCAATATACATCTGTGACATATGTTTGCAGCAGTAATGGCATTGATATATCTGATATATCATGTTTCCAAAATGGCATTTATACAAAATTGCAGAGGTTTTTCAATTTCACTAAAAGGCATGTCAGTGTAGATACCAGGAAATTAATGTGTTCAATTTCTAATTGATGAGTCTGATAATCTCCCAGCTCTGTGGGTTGAATTCACAAAATGGCGAACGACATTTTGGACTGCAAGAAGGGATTAATTGGCTTTCATGTGATTAATTGTACTTTGTGACCTGTATAATCAAAATTGCAAATACATCTAGATGCATTGGCTGCAGATATATTGCATTGTGATTCGCCTTTTCATTTGTTCTTGTTTTTAAGTAAGATGATTGCATTCAGTCTTTGCCAAATGTTAGTTGTATTAACCAGATTACATTCTGTGATATCACATAATACCTTAAGTTTGTCATCAGCCGTGTCAGGATATTGAGATGTTCCTTATTGATATGTCAGGTGTGAGATACAAGACTGTTTGTTAATAAGCATCCCAACTTTATTAGGTTTATATATGATATGTCAAAGCTGTTGTGTGAATAAAGTTGTCATGATAATTTTTCTTCCATTGTGTCTTTCAGGGGCACACATGGGTATATGGCACCTGAGGTGCTATCCAAAGGCACGGCCTATGACTCCAGTGCAGATTGGTTCTCTTTTGGTTGTATGCTATACAAACTTTTAAAAGGGTGAGGGACCATCTGTACTTCTCTAATGTAATTTTGTGGATAATTTATTCATAATTTTGTCCAACTGGATTTTACTGTGCAGTTTGAAAACATAACAATTATATTTAGATGTTATAACTATTTTACTGTAAAATTTGTTTATGAATTAGATTTTGCTGCAAAAATTGAAAATATCAGACTTGCATATCTATTAGAAGGCCAGAGCAGCATATGAGCATTTTTAACAGGGACTGAATCTAACATTGATAATGCTGGTTTTCAATCCATAGTCAATTTTGATATTCACTAACCCATTCTGCATTATGCAAATGTCTGTTAGAAATTATAATTATCTCTAAAAGTCTCAAAAGATAAGTTACAGCCAAATTGATTAACCTTAGCCATCTGTTAATGTATAGCCAATTATGCAAATTTTGTTCAAGAAGTCAAAAGTTTTACTGACCATTTTAATTATTATATAACCAGTTTAGATACATGCCAACATGTGATATATATATATATATATATATATATATATATATATATATATATATATATATATATATATATATATATATATATATATATATATATTTTTTTTTTTTTTTTTTTTCTGTTTCAGCCATAGTCCATTTAGACAGCACAAGACCAAAGACAAACATGAAATTGATAGGATGACAATGACTATGGTAAGGATATTACAGCTGTCCCAGAATTATGATATGTCACTCTGTGCACCATCATTTTACTTTGTGACCCGCCAAGTGTATAAGGCTTTTTTTTTTTTTTCAAAATGTCTTTTACCAAGAAAAAAATCTGCATGTATTTTTTTCGCACGAAAAAATAATTGCTTTGCTTCGCTAGCATGATTAATGAGTAAGGAGAAGCACCCAGACTATAGATCATTTATAATCTAATTCCAGTGGCTTTTATCCTATTTAAAAAGAAGCTGATCTTTGTTGTGCTACCGGTGATGAACTGGGGCCCGGAACGGTGCCTGGAAGTCGTTAGTTACAGTCAGTAGTTAATGCAGACCTTACAGTGTCACTGATTCTAATTGCTGTATTTCTTTATAAATGTAAGAGAAGGAAAATATTGTCAGGAGATCTTCAACAATTTTAAGACGTACTTGTGGATTTTGCAGAAAAAGTGAAATTATTTTCAGTCCAATTCAACTATCACACTTACATGATATGGCACCCATTAAAAACTATGTCCTTTTTAGGTCGATTTAATCAATGTCAATGGTAACGTACCTTTTTTTAATTTTTAAAGACATATTTTCACTTAACACATTTTTTTAAGTGTGGGCTATAAATTTATTAATGAAAAGGCTGTAGTGTGCCTTTGAGACATCAGACAACTACAGGCCATCAAAACTGAATAATTAAAGCTTTGCACAAGGAGAACCACATGGACTGTACCTTGATGTAAGCTAAAGTTGATACTGAAGCTTTTCATCCTCTTCATGTATGGGTACACATTGAAGAATTCCCTATGTACAGAAATAAGTCATGCAAACTAAAATACAGACATTGTGCCGTGGCAATAGGTTTAAAGGGGGGGAAACACACACTCTTGGGGCTGAGTACAAATACATTTGAATTTGAAAGTATATATGTGACCATAAGGAGTTAAGTTATATTACCTGTCTTCAAAATTTAAAGAGTTTAAAAGGTGTTCAAAGTTGAAAATAGTTAACAGTGTTTAATATTTGAAAATAGGTTTAAAGGGGGGGAAACACACTCTCTTGGGGCTGAATACAAATACATTTGAATTTGAAAGTATATATGTGACCATAAGGAGTTAAGTTATATCACCTGTCTTCAAAATTTAAAGAGTTTAAAAGGTGTTCAAAGTTGAGAATAGTTAAAAGTGTTTGATATTTAAAAATGTATAAAAATGTAGCTTTATAAAACTATTTGCCCTACATACACATGATAAAAAATCCATTTAAATGGTTCAAAGCTTTTCCAATCAAGATAAAACAAAGATTTAATACAAATGATGAATAATCTCTCCCTTAATTTGTATTGATTATAAGATGAAAAAGCAATATGATTATAAGATGAGATGGAAAAGCAATTTCCAATTTTCTTTGACTCTTAAACAAACTAAAAACTTACTGCCCTATTTTATATTTTCAGAATGTAGAGTTACCAGACTCAATGACCCCAGAAATGAAGGGTGTATTGGAGGGTTTACTGTATAGAAATGTGGAGGAGAGGCTAGGGTGTAGGGGGAGAGGGTAAGTGAATGGTGAAACATTCATATGTAAAGTTGTTGTATTGTCAGTTATAAGAATCTGTCAACTAAAACTTCACCATAATTTTTTTCATCACATAAGATGCATCCAGTTTTGGAATGAAACTAAACCATTACATGCTTTTTACGCAAAAAAAAATATTTTCTTTTTAATCCTCCAGGGCCCCCGAGGTGAAGGAACATAGCTATTTTAAGGGGATTGACTGGACTCAGGTGTATCTCCAAAAGATTCCACCTCCACTTATACCTCCTCGGGGAGAGGTCAATGCTGCAGATGCATTTGATATTGGCTCATTTGATGAGGAGGACACAAAAGGCATCAAGGTATGGGACATCTGTAATATGTCAGCATTCTATTTCTAACATTAGAAATAATATAGAAGGCAATCACAGTTATACATAATACATGATAATGTTGCAGATTGCCTTCTCTATATATTGGCTGTGGTGAAGGCTTATTCTGTTTTTTCTGTTAATGTATGTGGAGAGGTTACCATTATTAATGGACACAAATAGGATCTTGATGTTGCTTATTTAACTCTCTCTCTCTCACACAAGTAAATGTCAGCAATTTTACATAAAAAACTCTCACTTTACCAAAGATAACACTTTTATTTCCCCAATAGTGATTTTGCCAATCTTCTCTTGCTAATATGAAATTACCACAGTTTTTGTTGTCATTTGAAACCAATTGTTTAAGTACAAGGTATAGATTATTGGCATTTTTCTTTAGGTATCTGTACACAGGGGTAATACCAAACGTTAAAGATAAGAAATGTGCTAAGAAGATTGATAGCAGATGTTTGCCATTTTGGCAGTGAAAGGAATTAGTGTTAACCAATAGATCACGAGTTCATGGAAAAACAGAAAAAAAATATCCTGCACACACATGTACGGTTATTGCAGTAATGAGATTAAATCAGATGGCATAATCACATGCCATTTGCTATTTTGTGAATATCTAATAAAATTATATCATGATTAGAAATATCATAATGTGAGTGAATTGTCCTTTCAGCTTACTGAGGCAGACCAAGAACTCTACAAGAACTTCCCGTTAGTTGTGTCTGAACGGTGGCAGCAAGAAGTGGCGGAGACAGTGTTTGATGCCATCAATGGTGACACGGACAGAATAGAGCTGAAAAGAAAACAGAAACCTCGAAATGATGAATTTGATACTGGTATGATGATGATGATGATTGTGGTAGAGGGAGATCATTCATCTGCTAATGTAATGTTTGGCATGACTATATGATAGGAAGAAATAAATTGATAGTGGTTGATGTCTCAATGGTGACATAAATGGAAATGAGGTCAATAAAGAACAAAAACCTTGAAATGACCTTTTTAATACTAGTGTGATGATGGTTGTGGTGAAGGCTTATTTTTCATCTACAAATGTACTGTTTGATATAGTCACATGTTAGGATATTAGGAAGAGATAGATTAATGCCATCTGGTGCAAGAGGCTGAGGGTAAATCCTTCATACAATTAAAGTCATTTTATATGTATGTGTATAAAATTACAGGTATGCTTAGCTGTAGATGTTTAATGGGATTTGATCACAACAACAAGTTTAATGCAATATACATGCTACTTGATTGTTTTAGTGTGGTTACAGTCTTCCCTTATTTAAGCTCATATTTAAGGGCTCTTTCTTTTCCTTGCACATCATTTTGCTGTTGTTAGTATTTAGATTCCATTACCAATATAAAAGTGAATTAAGGGTATTACTGTTATTTGTCAACTAAATCTTGTGACATTTTTAGGCCCAAACACAGATTAATCATGTGTGTGTCGTGTGTGTGAGTGTGTGTGTGTGTGTGTGTGTGTGTGTGTGTGTATCAGTAATACAGTGTCTTGTTTATTAACTGGTAATGGAGCCATGCAGTGAGATTCTGTCTCTAGTCTATTTTTCATACTACTTTGATAAAATAGATTACTGTTGGAATCTTGTTAAATGCTCTCTTTCAGTTAAGCAATGACATTGATACATAGTTTCTTACCCAAATTGAGAGTGAATTGGGAATGACTCAATGAATGAGTAGAAATCCTAATTATCCCTAGAGAATTACAGTGCATGGGATCTCATAAATGAATTAGTGTTAATGGACAGGGGTAACAAACCAAGTGGACAGTTTTGTGAAGCGATTCAAGTTTCACTGAAAAATGGCATGACAAAAAGTTTGTATTATGTTAACTGCCTGTGTGTAAAATTCCTTTTTTTTTTATCTCAAATATTGGTCACAATTGCTTTAAAACCTCAACTTTCAGGTCCAACGGACTGTATTGTGGAGGGCGAGATATTGAAACTAGGAGGGCCGTTCTTACAGACCTGGCAGAAGAAACACCTAAAGCTGTATCCAAACAGACTGGAGTTCTACCATAAAAACCGAGATGGACAGATTGTCAAAGGAAAAGCAGTAGAGGTGGGGTTTCAGTGATCACATGTATGGTTTCACAGCAAAGAACAATATAATTGCTGATACAATATTTTATAATTACTATTACAGACAATGCAATTTGTGAGCTGACAGTTATAACCCTAAAACAGAATTGCTTTGTTCACCAACAATACATTATTGCTGTGTTTCTTTAGACTCATAACTGTAAGCCCCTTTAGTTGTTGTAATTCATCTTAATAGATGGCAATATCTTTATACTTTGTCCTATGCCTGCAAGGAAAACTAAATGTGATTTATAGTGTCTGACTCATTTACAGCTAATTTCAATGACGGAAATCAGGGAAGTGACCCAGGAGTTTCAGAAAATCAATAAAACAGAAAACTGCATAGTGATTTACCTGAAAAATGAGCAGAAAATAGCAATTACGTCACCAGTGAGTAGACAATGCATGTAGAACACATTTTGTCCATATTGATGTTCCCATAAGCATCACATTTCTGCCCAGAACCTCATATATTACAAACAAATACTGTGACCTCAGCTGTGTTTTGTTTAATGCTTAATTTTCCTTGTTAGAATTTTGTTGCAGTAAATTACATAAACTTTATTTGAAAGGTTTTTGCATACACATTCTATAGGCATGCAAGGAAGAATGATGTCAAATACAAAAAAAAAGGAAAGAAAGAACTAAATCCATCCTCTTTCTGTCTCCGTCACATTAAATCAGTGTTTTTTCTCCTTTTTTTCCTTTTCTAGGATAGGGTTTTAATTACGCAGTGGAAAGATGAAATTATTAATGGCTTCCGAATGTCTGAACAGATAATGGCAAACATGAACAAGAAAGTCAGCAAACTGTATGGCACAGACTACTCCCTCTCACATAGCACAGATAACTTCAAGCCTCCGCTGGAACACAGAAATAGCAACGGAAGCTAGAGGAAGATGGATTTTAGGAGGGATTAATCTTTTTTGTTGTGAATTATGGGGATTATGCAGGAAGATTCGACCAGAATCAATCTGGAATGAATAAGCAGAGATGTAGCCTCGTTTAACAGGCAGATAGCACTGTGACATCAACAGGGTTTTATTTTACCATGCTAACCAACAACCATGGTACAAGGTTTGTGGTCAACACAACATGGGGGAATACAATAACCTTTATCCAGTGGAACCTGGACCTGTAAGCTGATCTCCTGGCTTTCTGCTAGCTGAAATTAAAGATCTGATTATTTCCCTCAGGTCAGCACAGTCTTGAGATGATAATAATGCATGGCCCAAGTCTGGCTGAGTTCATTAGTATCTGTCTCCCTTTTAGATATGCTGACCATGTTGTACCCACAGAGAGGGTCAGACATTGTGAGGAGGAGGAAGAGGAGGAGGGCCTGCGGCACTGGATTGAAGGCAAAGATAAATCACTGTTTGGAATTTCAATCAGTATGTTCAAAGTGGAAGGAAAGGCACCTAGAAAAGCCTAGAAAAGAAGTCAATAAAACCAATACTGGTCTATAAAGGACTTTTCAATCTGAGATTTATTGGGCTACATTGGGTGCCTTGTGTGTTCAACCAGGCGGTGTTTGGAATGACTTTGCTAACTTGTAAAATTGTGAACGTGGAGTCGTAATTACTGTAGCCAAGGCTGTACAGACCGCTTTTGTTGACCTACCTCTTTTATTTCTTCACTTGCTTCATGTGAAGTCATGTTTAAGTGATGATGATGATATCTACTGCAGCATCATTTACACTGTAGCTGTAGCTACATGTTAGCTGCAAGTATAGCAGCTTAATTCAGTATCAGTGGTTGCTCATGTATAGAAACTGGAACATTTAGATAAATAGTGTTTATTAAGAGCTGTGCTTTTATTGGTTAGCAAATACTTTTGTGACTAAGTGTTTTATTCCTTAATGGTGATCATTATGGCATGATTAATATAATATGATTGGTAAAGGCAGTGGCAATCTATTTAATGTGGTGTCTTGGATTATTGCAAGCACTAAGTTCATGTAGGAATATTTATCAGAGAAATTATACCTTATACTCGGTGCCATTGGAGAGAGGGTGCTGGCTGCAGCCATTATACTATGGCGATACATATAAAACAGGGCAAGTTAAAGGAACATAAAATGTTTACACAGCATCTTGCCATGGTTATAATATGTAATAATATATTAAGGATAGGCAGACCCCAGAAAGCCCTGGCTACTAGCTTTAACAGTGACTTTAGTGTCCCAATATCCATTACTCCATGTGTCTGTATATGTATATTTATGACTCTTAATCAAGGTTGATGCAATGAAATTATGTTTCTATTTCTGTTGGAAGCATAGTGCAATTGTGAAGAGAAATGTGCTGTTCTGATCATGTGCTTAATTGTTTATCCCATCGAACTGTGTTCAGATGGTATAAGTGAAAATAACTGCTTTGCGTCTGTTAAAGAAAAACTTGATAAATTCTCAAGTTTTCATTAAGAATTTACAGTTTTCAGCTATTGATTACAGATATATATTTTTTCTTTTTTGTAGAAAAAAAATTGACATACTTTATTCAACCATGTTTTTTTCGCCTTTTGAACATGCTACCTCTTGCTTACTAATTTGTTCACATAGCTGGCCAAATGAAATGTTGTCTAACAACTGTATACATACAAGAGTTCTGAATTTTTTTTGGTTAGAATTTAAAGGTCACTTGGTGCAACTGATGATTGATTGAGTGATAAGTTCAGTTTGATAGGATTATAAAACCCATTGGGTTTTCACTTTAATTTTGATGGCGTTGAGCGCCAACTTGTTTTGCACAAAGGCATTGAAATCAATTTGTTTGTATCTGAATTTTAAGCACAAGTATGATACAAAGATAATGTTATGCATATATTTGAAAGGTGTTTTCACATAGAGACGTATTCCCTCAATGTCCCGTGCTGTGCTTTTAGATGAATTTTCACTTTGCCGGCTAGTTTTTAACTGTAATGACTATAAATAAATGAATGAATAAATAATTAAATAAATAAATAGATATTTCATGTTTGTAACCATGGTATTTAATAACCAGTCTTGTACAGATATGGAACCATATTTTATTATGTTATTTATTAGCGTCAATTTTTCCTTCATTGTTAAATTTTTTTCTGTGTCATACCATGATTGTAATTATATTGTCATTTTTTTCTCATTGACATTTAAGTTTGTATGTTTCAGAGCCAGGTTCGTTCTGGATGCTGACTGCTGTAAAATTGTGTTGTTCAGATAGTGCAAGTTCTATAGATGTTTTATCACATACATTATGTGTTTTGCTAAAAGATACTAATCCTATTTCTGCAGCTGTGGGTATATGTCAAAGAAACCATTTTTGAAATATTGATTTGATTTGTTGTCTTTCTGTACCATTAAATTGGTTCTTTTTTCAGACAATAAAAAATAAAACCTTCAGTAACAAGTTCTGCAAGCTCTTGCATGCTTTAAGTATTTTGACTGAAATCGTAAATAAATTATATGTACAGGTCCACATTGTTGCAATTTTACTGGAGAAATGTAATGGCTTGTCCAAAGGCCAGTGAGCAAAAGGTTGCAAAGTGCATTACTAAGAGAATGGAGATAATGAGAAAAGTGCAGGATACTAAATTGGCTCTTTTTTTCTGAACCTTTCATTTTCTCAGAAATTGATTTCTTTGTTCTTGATTCGGAAGTGGAATTTAGTTGTGCATTTGTAATGTAAGAACATGCCATTTTAGTGCAATAGACCCCTGTACTACATGCACCCCAAATACCAAGGACTTGTGCTGCCATGGGAAAAATGTAACAGAATTCACTCTTTGGCAAAGAAAACAATTTAGCTGTGACATATGAAGGATAAGATAGGAAAAATGGGGATAGGAAAACCGATGAAGAAAATTAAATTGAGTGTTGTCTGGCATCTTGTTCAGGTTGTGGGAAACGATTATATTAGCTGTGAGAATCTGCACACATCCCACAATTCTGCACACATCCCACCTACCACAATATGTGAAGTCTTTATCGGATGTTTTGGTCAAAGGAAGATCGTACACTATATGTATATTAAAGGGATGACAACTGTTCATGTGAGATTCAAAATTCCACAAATACATCGTAAACAATTAGAAATATAGGGAATTTCGTTTAAATCTGCATTTAAATGATATCTGAAGAGATTATTACAAAAAAAAAAAAAAGAAAGAACATTTTAAGGAAAAAAAAGTTGACTAACTCTTAACTGTTGGAATGGATTCATTTACCATTGGAAAGTATGGGCAAAATGTCGTTTACCCCAGGGATATCCATTTCCATTTTTAGCACTTTTCCCGCCAAAATAAACAGTTGTTATCCTTTCAAGATGAAAAACAAGTGTCACTAACTGCAATCAACAGTTTTAATTAACTTTCAACTAACTGGGATCTGTTGGTGAACTCTTGAAATTTATTGAACAGGCAATTATCCTTTCTTAAATAAAATACCGAGCTAAATTGACATAAATGAACATACCAGTGTTTTGAGATAATAATATTTTAAGAAATACTTGCTTTGACAATATAAGAGTTTTTTTAATTTTGCACCAAGGAAACGTTGAATCTAAGCTGTTTCCAATTCTAGGTTTATGGAAAGTGTATACAACATTCAGGAGAAATGACTCCATATCATGCTTTAGATATTTCTGTTCTTTATTAATAATTTTAGAAATGTTTATGAAGAGATATGTGTCTAACACCAACTAAGTTGTCCAAGTTAATTGGTGCAGTGCTATAACACTGGGATGCCTATGTAACTAAATAAGATTTCTAAAGTGACAAGTGTTTTTGTGTTGGATATTTTATATCAGAGTAAGTGCTACTTGTACTATCATGAGGAGAAATTATCATCCTGTAAATTATAATTAAAATATTTCTAGTTTGTTCACACCGACGCAAAAATATATAACAAATAAGAAAGGTGTAACAGTGGGTAAAGGAATTTTATTTTCCAGTTTGTCTCTTCAGAGAACATGATATCATCTACACAGCTCTGGGTAAAAGTTACGAAAGTTAAATACATTATATGAACGACTGAATTGTCAAACTGTCAAAAAATCAATTTGGCACTGTGTGTAAAAACAAAGTTTTCTAAAGGGAACTTTAAAAAATGATTAACCCCATCCGTTCAACCACAGCTAGGAAGCAGAGGCTGGGATAACTGTGCCTGAAATTCTTCATCCTTTTTCAAGCCTGTGCGGGCAGAATTAATCACTTCCTTGTCTGAAGGCCCATTTAATTTCCTATTACGTTCCACTCTGGAATACAAAATTCATCAAATAATTCTACACCCAGAGTTTCATTTATTATAGGAAGCTCGCCTCCAGCCTGCTTTATCATGTTACTGTTACTAACTGTTACGATCTCTCTCCCTCTCTCTCTCGCTCTCTCTCAATCACGCACCCACAAACACTTTTTTCATATTTCTTTTTGCAGAGACCATATCAACGAAATTCCTCGTAGCCTTTGAATATAGCCGTTTTAGTTTTTGCAAAGGCATGTTTTACTATAATAACTCAAGTCACCTTAAACAACGAAAATATCACGACTGCTATCAATATTATGTGCGGAGAAAAAAAGCACAAAAGACCACGAAAAGCGTGTACGTGCAAAAATGATTTTCGGAAGTATTGTTCTCCTGTCCTTCCCCCAAGCGACCTAGTTGACGTCAAAAGGTCACGTCGCCAGATTTGAAAGGGAGCAGGTGAGAGAGGAGGTGTATCATTCGGACATAGATCTAGAGAGAGAAACACGTAAAGAAGATGGTTGAATATTCGTTAGGGGAAACAGCTCTCCACTGGGGAGATATCCTCGTGATATTGGGATATCTTGCTGCTGTGATGGCCGTCGGAATTTGGGTAAGCCGTTTCACTTCAGGTGTTGTAGATATCAGGACGACGCTAGTTAGGCACCTGTTGATTTTAAAGGCGCACAGGAATGGTGTCACCTCAGCAGTAAACCAACATTGTGGACTCTTATCACGAAAAGCATATAGTAATTTATATTTACATAGAACAAGTCTAGAATGCTTGTACTGAATCAGCGCACTGTCACGCCCTATTTGGGTAGTTATTAACTCGGGATCAGTCTATTTGGTGTGAATTTACTTTTTTCCAGCGAGCTTTTCACTCTATATGTGCCAGGCCATATAACTGTTTTTCTTTTAGCGATTTTGCAGAATCAATCAGTATATTTCTGTTTAAACTGAAGGTGTTTTTAAATCTTTTAAAAATCATTATGCTTCTCTTATCCATATTAAATTAATCCTTTAATATGATTATCAGTTATAATGAGAAATTAACAGCCAGAATTGTCACCAGTCCTTTGGCAGCACTTAGTAAACAGGTAACTGGCACAGCAATTAGTTTTGATGTCAAAAAGGGCACATTCCTGAGGCACAATACAAATACAAAAATAAAAATAATGCTAATGCTGTGTATCTGCTTTGCCAAGGTGTCTTAAAAGCAGCTGTATAAGGTAAAATTATTAATAGCACTATGTACAGAGGCAGAGATCGGTTTGCATTATGATTCAGGAGAAGCTTATTGTGCAGTGTTACTGCTCAACCTGTTGACCCAGAAATGTGGAACAGTGGATGCCTCATCAAATAACACCTCAGGACTTGTGGGCGCATTGAAAATGGAATTGTTGTGAATTTTTTGAAAAAATGACAGGTGTGCCCTGATAAATCAGGACAGCATGTCTTGTGTAAACAGCAGTTTGTATGGGGTGTAATCTCTACACAGTTTTTAGGCAAACTTTCTTATAAATAGGCTAAAGGAGTGGTATATATTTATTTAAAATACTTGGGTCTGTTGTATTTCTATTTTTCACTTTTTTTTAATTAAAGTTTGGTTTTAATTTTGAGGTTTGAAAATCAAAAGCTAAATATTTCAATTTACAAAACACAAATTAAGTGAATATTTCATTTTGTAAATAAAAAGTTTTATGAGATGTTCAAAGTGGTCACACCCAGAGATTTAGAGGCTGTTGGGAACTGACCTACAGTGTCAGTTTGCCTGAACAATTTTCAGTATCATACAGCAATAGAGAGTAGAAAATGTCATTTCAACAGTGCTGATGTTATTAAGTTGAATGTTTTTGTTTGCATTTTTTTAAATGTATTTCTGTAACATTATATTTATTTTTAAAATTTTCAGTCATCATGCAGAAATCGAGGCAGTGTTGGAGGTTACTTCTTGGCAGGAAGAAGCATGCATTGGATTCCTGTAAGTTCTGATACTCATCCATTCTATTCTATTCTTTTAATTGTCACAATTGTGGAATATCATATCCTGGCTGTTGTAACTTGTTGTTGGTTTCTCCTAAACTTAGTACAGTAGCACCTGTTACCCATGCTGTCTAAATTAAAAACCTTGATTATATTGAAACTTGCCTTGAAAGGAGTCTATAATTTTAATAGTTTGGTTTAGGCAATAAAGACAGATCAAAATGAACCTCCCCAAATACAGTTCATACAGGACAACCTTTTAAAAATCGTAATATATGTGAATATTATGTCATTGTGGTTGTTGGGCACTTCAATTAAAGCAGTGGTTTTCTCTTCTAACAGTACCTCGTATAATTTGTATTTAACTTAAATGAGATCATAGTTGAGGAATTCAGTGCTTGAATAGGCTGACACAGCCCTGCACCATTTATCAAAATTTGTTAACAAAGGTTCTTAAAAGATACAAAGCACACAAAAAATCAGGCTTATCTTGTGTGTAACAGAACTATGACATAGGTTTCAATAGATACGATATAAACTGCACGAGAAGTGTCACCATATCTGTGGTGAGTTATCCTAATAATACCACCAAGGCAGTGGCAGTGTTTGCTGTGTCAACATTTGCTGATGTTCTTTAGCAGTGATGAATTTGTATAATTTACTCTTTTGAGGGTCCCAGGATGAAGGTTTTATAACTTGTGGTGGGTCTAGGTCACATTTAACTTTGGCTGGACCTGACATAATGGTGGTCTTATATTACTAGAGTTTGACCAAAACAACAACTTTATGTATGCAGAATATAACCATGTATAGCCAAAGAAAATATTTGGGCTTCCTTTACATAACACTATACCCGTTTGTTGTTGCTCGTTTAACTTGAAATTTAGTTATACTAAATCAGAACTACATAAGCATTTAAGATGCATAATTTGTAGATATATGAGTAATGCCAATCCCCAGAAACCACTTTACTTTCAAAATCTGAAGGAAGATCCCAGTTGGGTGTCTGCACTTTCATGTTGAATCATCAAAATGACAGGAAAACTAAAGAATATTTATTAGTCACTTATACCACTTTTTTCTAATGAAATGGGGACATCCTTTTTGTTTTTTTTTCCAAATGTGTAAGTGGGAGGTATGAGTCTTGTTTATCCAGTGTCAGAAAGATATACTATTAGTATTCTGTACCAGTCTTGGGAAGGTCGAGTGCACATCCTTAAGAAAAAAAAGCATGTAAAAATAAACACGTAAAAGATGGTTTCTGGAGAATAGGTTTTCAATATAAATGATATTGAGGTGTGTGAATAAACATGCTGAACTGCTTTATTGACTGCTCTTCGTTATTTCTCGACACTAGCGGGGGGGGGGGGGGGGGGGTTTATTATAAATAATGCAAACTTCCATCCTTTCCATCCATGATTTGGGTCTCTTCCACGTTTGTGGCTCATATGATATATTTTTTGTAAAGAGGGAAATGCAATAAGATACAAATGTTGTGGTGCACACCAAAAGGACATAAAATCTATAAGTATGGCACTATATAATGGCAGAACATGTTTACAGGTTAAACTGACTGTTTTTGAAGATCTGTTTAATGTCAAATATATTGCAAGTATTTAATATTTATATTTTATTTCGGTCTGTTTTTAAATTGATTGTAAGGATTATAAAATTAATTTATTTCCAGGTTGGAGCTTCGTTGTTTGCCAGTAATATTGGCAGTGGTCATTTTATTGGCTTAGCAGGGTCTGGTGCATCCAGTGGCATTGGGATTGCAGTGTTTGAACTCAACGTAAGTAGCATAGAGTGCTCATTGACCTGGGTTACATGGGACAGTCCACTAGTTTGATTGAACATTAAATGTCAAGTTCTAAGAAATCCACCATTTCCAAGAAATTATCCAAGGAATTAAATTTTTATTGGGGCTTGATCTGTACCCCCCCCCCCCCCCCCCAAATCCCAGGTCAGTGCACATGTCTGGCATTAATCCAGATGTATTTTTGTTTCAATATTGAAATGTAAAAACACCAGTTTTGGTGTAAAACTAAACTATGCAGATGCACACTACTATTCTCACATGGTGCCATGGGTATGCAGTGGATTTAGTCAGGTAACTATTATTTAAAAATATCGTAAATTTTCCCTGCATGGTTTTACACAAACCTGCCCCCCCCCCCCCCCACACACACACACATACTGTATATGTTTGTATATATATATATATATATATTGTGATCACTTTGTCTGTCTGTGTCCTAGCTGTTGTATTTACCAGAGGTCAGTGGTTAATGTTGCAGACTACGCCATACACATACTGGTTAGTTTGTTTTGTGCCATGGGTGTGGCACTATATTAGTCCAAGGACAATTGTTTGAAAAGTAGTAGAATTTCCCCAGATTACAATTGTACATGGTAAGACAAGTTGAATTACTTTTATTTCAAACATTTAATGGCCATGTGTACCACACACTCTTTGTCCAGGACAGTCTTTCGTGAAAAAAGAAAAAAGGCTTTTTTTTTAAGTATGTAAAAACACACCAACACACCACTGCTGACAATACCTGCCTTCAGTCAGTGCAATTGGTTTGCATGCTTTCACATTTGTCATTCAGTCTAAAATTTGTGGCAGGTTTATTTATCATTCTTGTGCTACAAAGGCAAGACAGGTTTCATGCTCTTCTTTTTAAAATGTGTCTATCTGATATTAGTGGTACATTTTGTTTTCACACTGTCTGGTATTATACCTGCAACATGTTTTTGGACTAAAAAAAACGGAGAAAAGTTAGTTTAATTATCTTGAATATTTATCAATATCTTCACAAGTAAGATTTAAAAAAGGCATTTTTATGTGAAAGTTATGGCAGATGTTCTTTGTTCAGTGTCTTTGAAGAGTCAAGATTCCGAAAAATAAAACAAAGCCACTGTGAAAATTATTTAAAACTTTTCTGATCCATATAACCAGAGAACATATTTCATAGATTAGAAGTGGGAAGAAGTAAACAATTATATTCTATTTTATTTTACACCAGGAAGGTCTGCTTTTACCACTTGACTGATTTTACTCAGATCAGTTTTATCGAAGTTTGCAGTTATGGCGTTGCCAGTTCAAGTAAACAGTAACTTGTCACATTGTCTTTACCTTTATCAGCCAGTGGTCTAGAAAACAGGACAAATGAACTGGAACAAGAACATTGCCTCCTTTTGCCCTGACTTGATTTTGACAATATA